TCCACACTCATCCAGCCTCACCCATGCTCATCCACACTCATCTATACTCATCCACACTCAACTATACTCATCCACACTCATCCAGCCTCACCCATGCTCATCCACTCTCAACTATACTCATCCACACTCATCTATACTCATCCACACTCAACTATACTCATCCACACTCATCTATACTCATCCACACTCATCCAGCCTCACCCATGCTCATCCACACTCATCTATACTCATCCAGCCTCACCCACGCTCATCCACACTCAACTATACTCATCCACACTCATCCACACTCAACTATACTCATCCACACTCATCTATACTCATCCACACTCAACTATACTCATCCATGCTCATCCACACTCATCTATACTCATTCACGCTCATCTATTTAACATACAATAATAACAATAATTATTATCATTACTATTAATTTATATTCAAATTATTTGGCTTCCTAAAAACACCAGTGTGAATGTGATGTAGACTGAGACACTATCACAGTTTTTCACAACATTTTACTTTGTTCAATTTGGTCACTAAAAATGGGTTGTAGCTCGTACTTTTTCTCTCAGAGTGATGCATTTAACTTTAAAATATACAAAATTTTCAGTTAGACTTTATTTTAAGGTATCCTTATTACCTGTTACATGTTATTAATTAACAACACGCACTTACTGTAAGGTCAGGGTTTGGTTTAGGCTGAGTTGCATGTAATTATGCATATCTTACTGTTGTTACTACAGTAAGCACATGTATCGTGTAACAGAGACTCTGTAAAATAAAGTGTTACCCAATGTTCTTATGGTGGGTGAGACTTAGAGGTTCAGATTCAGCCTCCACAGTCTCAAGAAATCCTGTCTGTTGGGGGATGACAATCACAATTAAAAACAAAGATATCTTATTTGTGATGCTCTTATGAAAGCGTGGCTTTGTAAGTAACACTTGTTGTTTTGTGTGCAGTGAGTCTGCAGATGATCCAGATCAGTTCCTCTATGTGTTGAGCAGGTGAGCTTTATTTCTGCTTCTGATACGGAAAGATAAAGTTCTGTCAGTGTGCTCTTGTTACACAAACAAATACTGCAAAATCAAGCTCACCTTCTCCCACAGAATTGACCTTTCTGCGCACATGCAGACGTGAGGAAGTGATGTCATTGCTCGAGTGTGAGGTCACATGAAGGGACGCGAGGAGGGTCAGAGGTCAGCGGATGCTCGTGACGTCAGAGAGCCTGTGATGGGCGGTTTCTACAGACGGATAGAGTCGAGAGATTCAGCAGAAACACATTAAACATGAGCAGTGTTTGCAGGAACATGAAATGTTGTAGTCTTGAGGTTTTAGGTTTCTTCACATGATCAGTGACAAACCGTAATGTCTTTAAAACTGTTACCTGTGTGAACATGACTGACTGAGTTTAACCAGTTCATCTCTTTAACTAGTTGGAATTTCATTTTATAAAACATTAGCATCTCCGGATTTACTTTTATCTAATTATTGTTCTTTCTATTTTTGTACCAGTTTGTCTTTTTTACCTAATAATAAAAATAAAGCAGTTTTAATAGAGTTTTCAGAGGTTTCTTTTCTACACTGAACAAAACCAAGCACAGATCTCTCCAGCCACTATCTGCTTCCATGGAAATAAAAATAATGCTTTATATTTCATACAAAGAGAGCCATAGATCAATCAAATCCGTTACAATAAGGTTACTTGTGTTCACATTAGTTAATGCACTAAATATGATGAATTACAAAGCATTTATAAATCTGGTTTGTTGTTAAATCACGTAATGCAAGTAATGCATTACTTTTTAATTTACAAGAAAATATCGGAGTTACTTTTTCAAATAAGTAACACCAGTTCCTGTTTCTCATGTATTGTCTGACAGCTCTCCTGTAAGAGCATGCAAACTCAGGACATGATGCAAACATGCTAAATAACACAAATATCCTTTATGTATTTAATTCCATTTTATTAACCAATATATTTGCTGCTGACCTTCGATGATCCAATTCAACCATTCTGAGCAATTTTTTTTTAGATAAACATAACATCTGTGTTTCATTTTTTGTTGTTGTTGTTTCTAAAGAGAGAAAAATTGTGCCGAGGCAGATGAGTAAAAGTAACGCAAAAGTAACGTAACGCATTACTTTTCATAAAAAGTAACACAATTAGTTACTTTTTTTTAGGAAGTAACGCAATATTGTAATGCATTACTTTTAAACGTAACTGTCCCCAACACTGTACACCATCATATGAGCTTATGAATGCATGAACACATATACAGAGTTTGATGCAGGCGCTGATCGGGGCAGCCGCTCCTCCCGCGCGGGGTCCTTCAGCAGACGGTGCGGGGCGGAAGTCGCACACAAACACACACACAAGCGCGCGCGCTGTTGCTTCTGTCGATAAACTGGTTTAAACCCTTTATTTTTGTGTTTCGTCGCTGTTTATTAGTAATTTGCGTGGCGAAGCGCGTTTGTTTGCTCCAGCATGGCTCCTACTGTACAGACGCAAGCGCAGCGGGAGGACGGACACCGGTGAGAGATCACGATCACAAAACAGATCAAACACACAAATACGATGACAGAAACACTCACTATAGCACACGCGTTCACTAAAACACACGCACATTCACTCAGGCAACCCTTCATCACGCTAATTACTCCGTTGTGTTTAATTAGAGACATCGCTGTTGTGAACTGGCCGTGTCTCATTTAGATCTCATGTAGTGTGTCACGTGTGCTTTGTGTTTCCTGCAGGAGCTCAGCTCACAGAAGCGTCCCAGAGAGGTACTGATGATGATGATGTGTTTGTTTGAGCGACCTGCATGTCAACCTCTGACTCAGCCAATCGCGTGCGAGAGGGGCGGGGCTGACAGAGGGAAACCTGTCTGGAAACAGTGGTGTGTTTGAACTCTTGTGTGCTGCAGGTCCGGCGTCGTGTGCAGAGTGAAGTATGGCAACAGTCTTCCGGATATCCCCTTCGATCCCAAGTTCATCACGTATCCGTTTGACCAGCACAGGTACGGCTCGGCTCGGCTCGGAGGGGCTGCTGGGATATGTCGCACTGACACCGCGTGCTGTGTGTTGCAGGTTTGTGCAGTATAAAGCCACGTCACTGGAGAAACAACACAAGCACGAGCTGCTCACCGAACCGGATCTGGGTGTCACCATCGACCTCATCAACCCTGACACGTACCGCATCGACAGCAGCAGTGAGCCCAGACACACACACACTGCTTCGACACAGTCTACACTGGATAAAGCGCGGTAGAAATAAAGGTGCCTTGGCTTGTGTGTTTCAGTTCTGTTGGATCCTGCTGATGAGAAGCTGCTGGAGGAGGAAATCCAGGCTCCGTCGAGCTCAAAGAGGTGCGAGAGAATCATTTCAGCACAGGAGCTCGTTCTCCTGTGACCTTTGACCCCCAGCACTGACTCTGACGTGTGTGTGTGTGTTCAGGTCGCAGCAGCACGCGAAGGTGGTGCCGTGGATGAGGAAGACGGAGTACATCTCCACCGAGTTCAACAGATACGGCGTCTCCAACGAGAAAGTTGAAGTCAAGTGAGTGTGACGCCGCCCGTCTGTCCGAGCTCTCTATCTGTCACATCTCAGTGTGAAGCATGAGCTGATCATCATGTGACCCGTGTGCGTGTGTGTGTGTAGGATCGGTGTGTCCGTGAAGCAGCAGTTCACAGAGGAGGAGATCTACAAAGACAGAGACAGTCAGATAGTTCTGCACCAGCGGGGGTGGACATGATGTCACAGGCCATGATCAGGTGTGTGAATTCTCACTTCAGACCACTGCTCATCACAGTCTGCATCCTGAGAAACAAGCTCTGCAAAACCGGCCTGATATCAGCTAATCTGATGTGTGTGTGTGTGTTCAGGGGTATGATGGACGAGGAGGGGAATCAGTTTGTGGCGTACTTCCTGCCTAACGAGGACACGATGCGCAAACGCAAGAGAGACGTGGACGAGGATTTGGAGTACATGCCTGACGAAGTGTAAGACTCCTTCATCAAACACCAGCACATCATCATTCACAGTCACCAGAGTGATTGGGTTTGCAACATTTCATTGACACGCATGTAATTCACATAATTGGCAGGATTATACTAATTGTAAGCGTACAAGTGCACTTTTTTTTTTCTTCAACGAATGATTGGAATTCAATAACATAGATGTTTAACTAGTAGATCTGAAGTTTACAAAGCATTTCTGAATCCGGGAAGGTTAATTTTATGCACAAATTAATGGAACTTTTTTTTTCTTCTCATTTTTGGGCATTTATATCTTGCAGTTTGGAGTTTTTTTATTTCGTAATCTTGAGTTTATAACTTGCAACTCTGAGGAAAAAAAGCTTAAATTGCAAGATAACAAGTCAAAATTACCTTTTTTATTTTCTTTCCAATGGCAGAAACAAGCTTTCATAAAAATACCTAAAACTTAAAATTAAAAAAGAAAAACTAATAAAAATGACAAAAATGTAACTAATTTAAAATATTAATGAAAAAAACTACAATAGGATCTCAATGCTGCTAAAATGACACGTGTGTGTGTGTGTGCGCAGGTATGATTATAAAATCGCTCGCGAGTACAACTGGAACGTGAAGAACAAGGCCAGTAAAGGATACGAGGAGAACTACTTCTTCATCTTTAGAGACGGAGACGGAGTTTATTACAATGAGCTGGAGACCAGGTAACTGTCAATCACACAGACGGCTCCGCCCACTCCGGCTCAGTGTGTGTTACTCACCGTGTGTGTGTGTGTTTTAGGGTGCGTCTGAGCAAGCGGCGAGCGAAGGTTGGCGCTCCGTCGTCTACGAACGCTGTGCTGGTGTGCAAACACAGAGACATGAACGAGAAGGAGCTGGAGGCTCAGGTCAGTTCACTTCTCACATCACAAACATCTGAGCTCAGATCAGATTACCTTTAAAACAGCAGATTGAGTTTATTTGCACAGAAGGGATTGATGCGGTGTGACCGCAGTCACTGATCTGTGTGTGTGTGTGTGTGTGTGTTTGATGGACAGGAGGCTCGCAAGGCTCAGCTGGAGAATCACGAGCCCGAGGATGAAGAGGAGGAGCTGGACATGATGAAAGACCTGCAGGACTCTGGTAACACAAACACCTTTATATTATACACCTGTGTGTGTTTAGTACAAAGCCTGTTGCTCACACCAGGAACAACAACGAACAAATATTAGGGATGTCCCGATCAGGTTTTCTGTGCCCCGATCTGATACTTGAATGTTCCTATAGGAATGTATGTTTGGTGCACACTTCAAGTACATTAAAGTTATTAAAATCAATCCAACGTATACAGAGTTGTGCGTAAAGAGTAAAAAGGCGTTATGACAACGACGTCTCAGATAGTCTGTCGGCAGATAAAAGTAAACAATAAATGAGTGATCGTTACAAAAGTGTGCATCAAATACATTAAACACGGAAGCTCAAACGTGTGTGACGCGCTAGAACAGACCTCAGTGTTTCTTTGCACACGTTTGAGCGTCTTCTTTTGCTTTTAATGGAAGTTGGCGAACCCACTTAAAGGGGCATACTGCCACCTACTGCATGACATCGGCATGACAGCTGACGTAAAATAAGGATCGCTTTGAGGACATCTGATGCTCGGGACATCCCTAACAACAATTATAATATGAAGTTGTAATAATTGCTCTAATTCTAAGTGAATAGCAGAGTCGACACCTCAGCTATACCAATAACGGCTCAGAGGAACGATATCAGTGGAATCACTTTCACTTTCGATATTTATTTTTCCAAATGATGAACTATAAAAACATTGACAGCCAATCAGAGCTCAAACTTTTGAAGTGACATGACAAAACTGCGCTTAGAATAAACAGAACGTTATCATCCTTATACGTTACCATAGTTATAGTTATCGCTATAGTTATCATCATAGTTATTGTTATCGTCGTCATAGTTTTTGCTGTAGTTATTGTCAGTTACCATTATCAGAGTTATTGTTATACTTATCATTGTAGTTATCGTTAGTTATCGCTATAGCTACTGCCATAGTTACAGTTATCACTAAAGTTATCATAGCTATAGTTATCGTCATAGCTATTGCTATAGTTATCGCTATAGATACAGCAATAGTTGTCGTCAGTTATTGCTATCATCACAGTCATAGTGATCACTGTAGTTATAGTCATTGCTATCGCTGTAGTTATCGTCATAGCTATCGTTATAGTTATTGTCATAGTGATCACTGTAGTTATAGTCATTGCTATAGTTATCATCATAGCTATCACTATAGGTATCGTCATAGCTATCGCTATAGGTATCGTCATAGCTATCGCTACAGTTATCGTCATAGCTATCGTTATAATTATCGTTATAGTTATCACTATAGTTGTCATCATAGCTATCATTATATTTCTCGTCATAGTTATCGCTATAGATTAAAGCAATAAGCCCCAAGAAGCCGTGGTTTACAGTAAAGTTATAACCGCTAAGGGGCGTTGTTAGGTACGACGCGAAGCGGAGTTAAACCCCTTAGCTGTTATAAATTCACTGTAAACCACGGCTTCTTGGGGCTTATTGCTTTAATCTATAGCGATAACTATGACGAGAAATATAATGATAGCTATGATGACAACTATGGTGATAACTATAACGATACCTATAGTGATAGCTATGACGATAACTATAGCAATGAATTATAACGATAGCTATGACGATAACTATAACGATAACTATAGCAATAACTATGACGACGATAACTATCATTATATCTATAGCGATAACTATGACGAGAAATATAATGATAGCTATGATGACAACTATAGTGATAACTATAACGATAATTATAACGATAGCTATGACGATAACTGTAGCGATAGCTATGACGATACCTATAGTGATAGCTATGATGATAACTATAGCAATGACTATAACTACAGTGATCACTATGACAATAACTATAACGATAGCTATGACGATAACTACAGCGATAGCAATGACTATAACTACAGTGATCACTATGACTGTGATGATAGCAATAACTGACGACAACTATTGCTGTATCTATAGCGATAACTATAGCAATAGCTATGACGATAACTATAGCTATGATAACTTTAGTGATAACTGTAACTATGGCAGTAGCTATAGCGATAACTAACGATAACTACAATGATAAGTATAACAATAACTCTGATAATGGTAACTGACAATAACTACAGGCTATAGATATAATGATAGTTATCGTCGTCATAGTTATTGCTATAGTTATCGTTATAGTTATCGTCATAGCTATCGTTATAATTCATTGCTATAGTTATCGTCATAGCTATCACTATAGGTATCGTTATAGTTATCACCATAGTTGTCATCATAGCTATCATTATATTTCTCGTCATAGTTATCGCTATAGATTAAAGCAATAAGCCCCAAGAAGCCGTGGTTTACAGTAAAGTTATAACCGCTAAGGGGCGTTGTTAGGTACGACGCGAAGCGGAGTTAAACCCCTTAGCTGTTATAAATTCACTGTAAACCACGGCTTCTTGGGGCTTATTGCTTTTATAAAACGGTTATTCCGTAAGGTTTCACAAAATAAAACAGAGCAAATAAAGTGTAATGATATTAATAAAAACAGTATTCTTCCACCAAACAATGTAGTTCCTCAGAAACAGTTGTGGTTGCAACAAAGTGGTTGCCAAGCAACTCGCATACATAAACAAAGTTGTATGTTTGCAGAGTAAATTACAACAGCTTCGAACGTGGCTCAGCCAATCAGAATCAAGGACCGGAACTCTCCATTTTATAAATAACGATAGTTATCGTCGTCATAGTTATCGTTAGTTATTGTCATAGCTATAGTTATCATCAAAGCTATCACTATAGGTATCGTTATAGTTATCGTCATAGCTATTGTTACAATTATCGTTATAGTTATCACTGTAGTTATCATAGCTATCACTATAGGTATCGCTATAGTTATTGTCATAGCTATCGTTATAATTATCATTATAGTTATCACTATAGTTGTCATCATAGCTATCATTATATTTTTCGTCATAGTTATCGCTATAGATATAACGATAGTTATCATCATCATAGTTATCGCTATAGTTATCATCGTCATAGTTATCGCTATAGTTATCATCGTCATAGTTATCGCTATAGTTATCGCTATAGATATAACGAGTTATTGTCGTAGTTATACTTATTGTTATAATTATCATCATAGCTATAGCTATAGTTAACGTCAGTTATCGTTATAATTATGATAGCTAAAGTTGTTGACATAGTTATTGTTATCATAGTTATCGCTATAGTTGTTGTTATACTTATCGTTATATTTGCAGTAGTTATCGTTATAGTTGTCATCATACTTATTGCTAAAGTTAACGTCATAGTTATCATTGTAGTTTTGAATGAGCGTTTAGTGCATGGTGTTGCGATATAACGCTGCTCTGTGTTCCTGTGCTCAGGTGAGGAGCGCGAGAAGGCCAGCGACTCGGACAACTCTGAGAGCGAGTCTGAGCGCGAGGATGAGGAGCGGCCCGCTGAGGAAGACGAGGAGGAGGACGAGGAGAGCAGCAAGAGGCGTGAGAGGAAGAGCAGCGGCAGCGAGAGCGGCGAGGACCGGCAGGCGCGAGATGAGGAAGAGATCTTCGGCAGCGATGATGACAGTGAGGATGACGAGGGTGAGCGCGCGAGGAGCAACAGCAGCAGCGTCCAGCACAGCGGCAGCGAGAGAGCGTCCGACTCCAGCGACGCCAGCGACAGCGAATGAGATGCTTGGCCCCGCCCACCAGCAGCTTCTGCACTCATGCTGTTTCCTGTTCCTGTTCAACTCTGTCCCTCTGATGCTTTCACGGTGAATCTCATGTCCAGCTCTCTCTTCACCCCGATGAAATCATATTCTGCTCGACCTGGACGTGTGAGATTGTGTGTGTGTGAGAGTGTGAGTGTGTGTGTGAGAGTGTGAGTGTGTGTGTGAGA